GCAAAAAAAAAAAAAAAAACAGGATAAACACAAAATAATTATAAATGCGAAAAAGTACAAAAGTCTACCAAATTTTAATGCAGTGTTTGTGGTGGTAGTGTGAGTTCTCCTGAATAATACAAAATTTTTTAAGGTGGTGACTATGGCGTTCACAACCAATGATTGACAGTTTAATATTGCCGAAAAGTACAGAAAAATAAGAAAAAACAGCCACAAAACTAATGTTACATGATGGTTAATAACAGGACAATTTTGTAATTTGTAATTAACGCTCTCCAGCTACTGGCAGCTGGACTTGACAATCACGATATCCCTGGCAGCATAGACCAATTGGTATGCACCCGCTTCGTCGAGGGAATGATGCCTGGTGACCTGCGCACAAACCTCCGACGGCAGCTCCCAGCCAACACGTCCAAGTTACAGAAGATTATTCTTCGTTTCATGGACGCCGAGAACGACCACGTGTCGACACCCAGCACCTCTATGTGCCCAGTATCAACAAAACCCAATACACCCGCCGTGACCCCCGTTAGTCGCGACCGTTCAAGAAGCCAACGATGCTTAAATGGGGATGCTACCCGTCGCTGCTACTATTGTCAACGCTTCGGGAAGAAGGCCCGTAAGTGTGGCCACAATCGCCAGCCGGACCGCAGTAAGTCCCCTGTTTTTAATTCGTCTACATACTCTTGTAACCGGCAACCTTTGATGTTATGGGGACATATTAATGGAGTGCCCTCTAAAGTCCTCTTAGATACTGGCGCGTCGGTTTCGCTAGTAAAGGCTTCCTTCCTTCGACGCTTGCCCCAGTACTCACCCCCAGTAACCACTCACAACATCTTGACGACAGCTAACGGTGCTAAACTGGAGGCCCAATCTGCTACCGATCTACAGCTGCGTCTTGGAGACCTAGATGTGCGCCATCAGTTTCTTATCTGCGCCCAGATTACATGAGACCTCATCCTAGGGGTAGACTTCTTGAGGTCACAACACACTCTTATAGATATCACCAATTCTGGAGTCACAATTGATTCTGTCACTATACCCGTATATAGCCCTCAGCAACCGGGGTCTGCTGCGTCAAAGTTATCAGTGTCTACCATCATAAATCAAGTTTCAGTTGATCCATCTGCTCCTGCTCCCCTCCGAGGGCAAATGCTGAAATTGATTGATGAATACGCTGATGTGTTCGATGATGGGGGTAATCCAGGAGGCACTGGTGTTGTTCAGCACCGTATCGATACAGGCAGTCGTCCGCCTGCGCGTCAACCACCCCGACGGATCCCCGTGCATTACCAGCCCCAACTGGACGCCCTGATACGAGATATGTTGGATAAAAAGATCATCGTACCATCATCCTCCCCATGGGCGTCACCCATCGTTTTAGTCAATGAAATTCTAATTAACGTATTGATGTTTGAAATGATGGGTACTGGGTTTTGGCCTCATTGGGAATGCCATAACTCACTGAGGAATGCAAGTACATCCCCAGCGACGAGTCCTAAGCAAGACGAAACCTGCATCCTGCTGAGTTCCACCGCTAATCACCATCCACCAAATTACTTCAATGAAATATTTTTGTTGACTGATTCCAGTTGCCTAATAAATCGGAAGTTTTGCCTACTTTTTCCTTACCTATTTTTGGCGTTAGTTCCATATTCAGTTCGGGGATTAACTGTTTTAATATGTTCAAAATGCAAAGATAATAGACGAAGACAAAAAAGACGTGAGTACACAAGACAATATATGCTCGTTACTTTGGACTACTTATATATTCTATAAGTAGCTAAATTATAACCACTAAAATATTCATTTAAATATAAAAAGCGTAGAAGTGTGCAGTATTTCATACTGATGAAAATTTAATTTACTTTTAAGGTGCTGAAGGGTCAGTGAACCCGTCCTTATCACTTCTAAATGGATTTGTAGTTAAAAGGAAGAAGTGACGACTAGGTAGATGAAATGAGAGTATACTAAAATAAAAGACGTCTATGTAGCCAACTTACACAAAATCTATTTGCTATTTTGCTTGACATCAAGTTTGAACACAAATTCACGTCAGCTAAAGAACCATTGAAAACTACGGAGTACTATCCCGCTGTCTCATTTTAGTTTAAAACTCTTTCAGCAGTATTCACCTGTGAACTCACTATAGATTGAACCTAAGACTATCAGGTTACGAGAACAGCCTGATAATCATCCAGATACTGGGATGGAGTCTGATGACCTATAGACTCGACCTTCTAACAATTTGTAATATCTGACGCAACCACCAGTCAGTGTCATCAACGATCCCTGTTGGGGCCAGGGGTTATTACTGACTGAGTGTCTTTTGATGCTTTTATTGACAGTGACTTTATAACGCCACTACAAATGAATCCCTGAATAAATTAGTCCATCGGAAACCTAGCTTAAACCGTATCAAGTGAAGTCTTCCAAGAATCAGCTAGGTATTCAAGTGTTGGTTAGTAGGGATTTGCTTGGTTACAGAATATTTATCATGAGCGGACATTAGTTAAACAGCCATTCGAAAACCTGGGAGTACTGGACAGCTGTTTCGTCCTAGTCTGGGACTCTTCATCGGTACGGGCCCAACAGGATTCGAACCCAGGACCTTCTGGTTCCAAGGCTTGCGAGCTCGTAGACCATTAAGCCACTGGGACCCGATCTTATGTCCAGTGCATGAATTCTAACTTCTGCCAATTCACGACAGAGCGCGACCAATGTCTTTGGAGAGTATTTCTCCTGCTAGATATACGGATAATCAGTATTCAGATATGAAAGCCAAATATTTTGAGAGATTGCTCTTTTTTTAAAGCTTTCTACAATCATAATTCACTTTAGATAATTCATAGAATCACTTTCAACTTGCCTACGTGTATTACGTGAATTTTACAAAGAGAGATGAAATATGCACCATAAACGCGGCTTTATTAATTGATGGGAAAATTCACTAAGGATCTTGATACGACTGTTAATAAAATTGGCAGTTTGCGATGAATTAAAGTCTAAGTATCTGTTAGAATGCGTTGTATTTTATCGACGCTAGTGTGCAGTTTATTCGTTCGTTTTTATTTGCAATTTTACATATCTATTCGTTTTATTTTACAATCTAACAAAGCTGATTCTCCTCGTTCATTCATTTTCCGATTTAAATGTGAATATATTCCCTTCACTTGTGAATTTATATGTGTCAAGAAGCTAGAGATATGTTCCGTTTTTTAACACTGTGACAGTGTCATCCACATATCTCCACCATTGAAGAGGCCAGTGATAATGACATCAAAATACGTGTGGACTAAAACAAGCCTTAACCTCGCCTAGATTACTAGCTCGCTAGTTTTCTAGTCGGTCCCAAGCCCGGATAAAGAGTGAGGGTTGGGGCGTGGTGTTAGCATCTTCATCCCCAAAACTTAACCAAATTGCTACAGAAACTTCAACGCATAAATATACTAAAAATACTAAAAATATAAACAATAACCTCATTTTTCGCTGGAACCGGGGAAGTGAAATGACGCAGTCTGGTGAAAGCCTTCAGGAAGCCATTCAGCCAATGTGCCTTCTTCCGATGTAAGCAAAAACAAGGATGGGGACGTGGAATGTTCGTACAATGTATGAAGCTGAAAAGACTGTTCAGGTAGCCGCAGAAATGAGAAGATAAGGAATAGAAGTATTGGGAATCTGCAAGAACAGAGGAACGTGATGTCCTCGGTGAAATAAACGACAATTGTGAACTCTTCTCAGACTTCTGCGCCTTCACTGATTTCGTGATTGGTGGCAGTGTGTTCAAAGACAAGGATACATACAAGGTGACGTGGATTTCACCAGATGCACGGTGAGTGGGACGTCCAAGAATGACATGGAGGAGGAGATTGTGTGAAGAGGAGTTGAAACAGTATGGACTAACATGGATGCAGGAGAGAAGTACATCAGAAGACAGAAGCAAGTGGAGACGTGCAGTTGAAGCCCTATGTTCCACTAGGAACCCAAGGGGACAATAAATAAATAATAAAACAAGCCTTTGAAAATAAAAACTTTTAGTTGTTCAAATCTACTTCATACTTCTGAAGAGAAAAAATTCCAGCCATTTCATCTATAATCACATAAACACAACTAACAAAGTCTTTAAGGAACTTTAAATTAGAGAACTAAACTTCTTTTTTTCTTATAAGGATTAAAACAATTATTGACTCAATTCAATTCGACATAAATTTTGCAATTACTCAAATTATTCAAATTAACTCTGTCCTACTTATCATCTCTGTTTGTTTAACTAGCCAACCAAAGAATCGGCTAATCGAGGTATAATTCTTGCTAACACGACAGTCAGTATAGAACACAATACCACCAACAACAACAAATCACTAAAGCGATGAACAGTTTACGCTTGATTTACTCAAGTTTCCTTTTATGAATTTCCAATTCTGTAGTAGAAAACAAGAATGGGAGTTAGAGTAGAGAAAGTAATTTTATATTTGAATAAGATGTGAGATTTTAAGATGAAAATTAAACAAAATTAAAAGGAGAATAAAGATTAATCTATTCATGCAATAAGGAAACACACTGTTCCCATGATTGCTTAAAGAAATTCAGTAGTGAAATCATAACAAGGGAAGAAAGGAAGGAAAGTCTGGTCCTTCATTCAAATGAGATAATGCTTACTGAAAGAGTTTTCTTTTTAATTACAGGTAAATATTAAGCACTTTTTCAACAATATGTTTATATTCTGTTCAATGGTTCAATTGAATATTGAATGTTTTGATGTAGTAATGAGTGTATGTTGTACATCTGAATTTGTATGAGCGCTAAATTTGACTCTGATCATTCTTACTACTGTAACACAGATTGTAAGTAGTATATTTTTACAACATTATTATTATTGCCACTCAACAGGTGGTCAGTTGATCAAATTTTCGAGGATATAATTGATTTATGCGTCTGCTTTCATTGATACAAATGAAGTAAACGTTGCTATTTGAATTGACAGGTTTTTCCCGCTGAATTCAATTGGCTTTTATACAGTCGAGTCTTTCTGGTATCCATACTTTAGCGATTAAAGTGTTCGTTGAATGTGATGTCGTATTTCGACTCCATGGTGGAGTATCACGATGCCAACTCAAACTATGGCCGAAAAGAATATGATCGTTTGAATGGTGGTATGCTTCACTCCAAACTGTTGAGCTGTTCGATGATTCTTGTAAATATTTTGTACTATTGTGAAGTTCTTCATTTTTTCTGGTTATCATCAATTCGAATACTGAAAGAGGAGAACAAATAGAAAGCGAAATCTAAAGTTATGGAACCCGTTCCAGTGAAATCAAATGAGAATAAATAATGAGGATCAAAACTGGATTACTGAATCTACACGCAATGATAAATATGTGCATAGTTGTATACTACTTAAATCAACCAGTAGTGCTTGTTAGCTAGCTGAATCGAACGGCGGTTCCGTTAGTTTGAGGTCGAGATTATCAGCAGTGTACTCGGTCTGATTCACCTCAGAGAGCCGAATCAAATCAAATTACCCAATTTTCAACTAGCTACTTTGCGGTGAGAGCTGTCTGCGAACAAGCCAAAATTGTAGACAACAATTTACGTCAATGTTCACGTCCCGAATTGGTTTCATGAGAAAAACAATAGCAAAGCCTGACCTTGAGGGACTCACTAACCAGTCACAGCAGACTTAACGTGTGCAAATACAATTCGCAGATATATGGCTTAACTTTCTAAGAAACGGTCACGAGCAGTACAAAATAACCTTCAGCAAGAAAACAACCAATCAGAAGATGTCGCTTCTCCGTTGACAAGAATGTACATAAAAATCTATAAATATCTCTTGATTTTCATCGAGGATTTCATCATGAGCTGACATCAGTTAGAGAACCACTGGAAAACCTTGGAGTACTGGACAGCTGTTTCGTCCTAGTTTGGGACTCTTCAGGAATACGCCCCCACCGGGATTCGAGTCCGTGGTTCGATTCCCAGGCCGACCTACTCCTAAACTCCATGCTTACCGGTAGTAAGACCGATAAAGAGGGAAGGTTGGTTGTGAGGCTAATAACCCTATCCCGTAAAAGAACAACTTCGCTACTGAAGCCCTAGTGTTCAAGCTTGAAGCCGTATGTTCCAATGGGAACGGAAAGGAATAAAATAAATTATTTGATAGACAGACTATCTGGGATTTTATTGATTTAGTGAGTAGTAACTGATCATGAAGCTGTTGACTTAAATCGCACTGCTTCAATCGTCACCCGCTACATACTATTACTCATCTTTTGGTGTTATGTTTTCTGATTCGTATAAGAGTACTCAATAAGCTTGACATTAGAGTTTTCTCCAAAACATCAAACACACTGCTAAGAAACCCTGTCGACATAAAAGCCCAAATCCCTAAAGATTCTCTATCTAATTGTGTCTATAAAATAAAGTGCTTGCTTGGAATGTGATGCGATATACACCGGGCAAACATCACCAGAGAGAAATCAAGGTAGTCATAAGAAATGAACCGCTTACAGCATCTCTTTGACCATCGAGAAATTCGCTTAGTGAACTAGAAAAACTTGAAAAGTCATCAGTCATAGATCTGTCTACACGCTATAGAATCAGGCCACAAAACTGATTTCGACAATATTGAAATAATCATCCAGAAAAATTTCAGAAATCACAAAGAACATCTCATATAATCAGAAGCACTTCATATGAAATTGGATCCAAATTGTCTGAATAGGCTGAATGATGGACTAAAACAGAATCTGACCTGGTCACAACACCCCTACCGTCCCCCATGAAATGACAAAATCAACGCGAATATGACTGATAAGCAATTTCATTATGTAAACACGCACTGCTTTTATAATTTTACACTCTTATCAAATCCAATAATGTACACCTGGTTTTGTTATCTTTACCGATTGGCCAACTTGACAACGTAAAAATAACCTCATGCTGATGAGAGAGGATGAAGTTGTTGTATATAAGCTGAGTGGATTTTGTAAATTCTGGTTTAATAATACTACTTTGATAAAGCTATTAACAGCAGCATTAAATAGTGAAACGTCAGTAAAAACAACGACAATATCGTTTTACTCTTTTTCATTCATTAGGAAATACAAGAAAACCTTTATTATACAGATTATCATATACCTATAGCCTAGATTTTTTCAAACTATTAAAAGTGAACTTGGTTTGGACACATATATATCTTTCTGGTCCATATACTTTAACTCTGGTGGTTTCATTGCCCATTCTACACTTAGCTTCACAGTGTACTTAACTCTAATGATGTTGTCTTTAAAAGGACAATGAAAGCCTGTCAACTACATCTGCCAGTACAGTGGACTCAACATGAGTGAAAGCACTAATGTGAGCTACATACATATTCTCCATTGTCCAAGTAAATTACCTCACACATCACCTGTTAGCACTGTTACAAAATGTCAAGTTTTTATTTGGTACACTCACAAAAAAAGACTGATTCCACAATCGTTTCCCTGTAAACAGAATATCTCCCACTATGGGTAAGTGAAAGTGTGGTTAAAACTGTTGACAGTTCGATATTGGCCCATCTGGTGCGAACCGGCCACAGAGCCAGCCAGCATTGAAGAATCCTTCTCTATCATCTATCGGGTGCCTAATAAATTGCCAAAAACATCGAAGCACCGCATGCTCCAAACAGCAGAGGCTATTACAATTCGCCTCAAACAACTAGTGCTCTGTGCCCCTGCTACTGCCCTAGCCATCAGTAGAGACTATAAATTCATAAATTTGTAATATTATCTCTCCTAATTTTTCTGACATTCAGCTTATTTTATATTGATGCTACTGATCTGTAATCAATCAATATTATTGATTCGGCGTAATTTAAACAGCTTTACTGTTGTTAATAATACTAATTCATTCATTCACTATAATGTATACATATAACTGTAGAGCCTGATGATGAAGTTATCGGAAAGAGTATTCTTTGTTCAGTATCCATTCTTTTGTAAATGTTAATGGACATTTTTAATCAATTAAAAAACTGATACACAGTCATTTATGGTAACTATCAACAACAAAAGTCTGTTTGTTTTGACGAATTGACCACGGATTGATTGATATCAGTTAGAGAACCATTGAAAACCACCTGCAGGGAGTACTGGACAGCTGTCTCATCAGCCTAGTTTGGGAATCATCGGCAGTACTCGTAAGAACAAATCTAATACTTACAAATCAACTATTAAAAAAATTAATCTGATGCTCACTAGTGACTTTCTACAGGACAGAGTTTCCTGCAGTTCCACTGAGAAGTCATGACCAGTGAGATCCATTCAGTCAAGTGTAAGGATGGATGTCCCACCGATGACATTGGTTGGTGGTCGCGATAAACTCGTCACAAATTGGTAGGCGTTAGAATTCATGGGCTGGGAATTGAACCGGGTATATGAGCTTGCCTTGTAACCGGAAGATCCTGGGTTCGAACCCCGTCAGTGGTGTGGGTGCTTACTGTCGATGACTGCCAAAGTAGGACGGAGGAAACAGCTGTCCAGTACTCCCAGCTGGTGGTTTTCCAATGGTTCTCTAACTGATATCAATCCGTGATCAACTCGTCTGAAACAAATCTAAACTTTACAAACCAATTACTGAAAAGTGTGTTTAATAATAATGAACTGAAATGACTGTCTGTTTGTAGTAATTAGTGGTTAAGGTGAGAAAAAGGTTGACAATAAAGTCATTGTTCTTTTTTAAAAAAAATACAAATGAGTGTTACTTAATGGCATATAATTCTTATTGCTCAGGTAACCCGCTGTGCTCACATATACACACACTAATCGCTTTTGTGCGATCATTACTGATCTCAGTGTTTAGACACACACAGATCAGACTTAAAAATGGACAATGATCAACAGAATTTACAGATCTACCTTTAATTGGTAAGCAAACACAAATAAAGTGTCAAAATAAAAACCCAAATAAAAAAAATTTACAACAAAACCAGATAATCACCAGTGATACTGATGAAATATAAAAGAAGAAACCATAGGGTGTATAACTTTGTTTTGCAAACATGTTGACCTTTGTTTGTCCTTTTTTGTAATCTCTTTGAGCAACCTTCTCTCACTCTCTGTCGATGAATGTGTCTTGAAACTAACGTGGAACAGTACGATAACAATAAAAGTGACTACATTTAACAATGACTATTGATGAAACAATCAAATTACAAGTGATGAGTATATTTCACTGAGAAGACATCCCTTTGTGTTAATTGTTTGTGTCTAGAGGGAGAGACAAAGAGTATGACTCTTTCAAACATTGTCTCAAATGAATAAAATGACTTGAAATTACTTGAATTTACTCTTAGGATCGTTTCCAAATTTTAATCTGCACTAAATAAGACCTATAATTGTAAGTAATTTGTTTTGTGGATAATGGTACAGTGTATTCTGTGGATGAAACTGAACACCAACATTCAGTATAGCCTTCAGATGAGAAGATCATTGAACAAGTGCAAGTGAAAACTAAGGGCATTGTGTTGTAGGCTTTAGAGGGACTTGTCTGATTTTATATAGTTATCAGATAGGGAATTCAGTTGCGAAACTGTTGAAAACCAAGAAACACTAAATAGTTCTTTCATTCTAGATTAAGATTTTTCGATAATGGTGTGTACTTCAGTCCCCCGTTAAGAACCGACACTCTAACTGTTAGTTTATCAAATGAGCAAGAAGCCATTCAACTATTATTAGTATTATTATTGTTCCCTTGGGTTCCTAGTGGAACATAGGGCTTCAACTACACGTCTCCACTTGCTTCTGTCTTCTGCTGTACTTTTCACCTGCATCCATGTTAGTTCACACTGTTTCAACTCTTCTTCACACGATCTCCTCCATGTCACCCTTGAACATCCCATTCGCCGTTTCCCTTTCGGATTCCACTCGAGCGATGGCCTGACGCGCGATGTCACCCAGCGGCCTCCTCAGCGAGTGTCCAATCCATCTCCACTTTCTCCTGCATATTTGTTGAGCGATTGGTTCTTCTTTCGTTTCTTCCCATAGTTTCTCGTTGGTGATTCTTTCCGACCATCTGATCTTCAGTATAGAGCGAAGATAGTTGTTGATAAAGGTCTGCAACAGACTGTTGGAAATATTCTTTGTGACCCGCCAAGTTTCTAATCCGTATAGAAGAACTGACTGACTTGACGTTTGTATTGAAAATCCGAATTTTGTTGTTGATCCTGAGTGACGAAGATTTCCAGATTGGTTTCATGTTGATGATGAATGC